CGGGAAGCTCCTCTGTTGTTTGAGACGCTGGGGGAACCATCTGATGGGGGAACCGTCTGATGGGGGAACGCAGCTCGAACAAACACTCTGTTTAATGGTGGATGAAATAAAGAAAGTGGCGGTACTTTATTTACTTTGAGCAAGCGAACTTCATGTTCACAAGATAATTAATCCACCAGATAATTCAGAGGCGGTCTGTTCGGTAAATTTTACTCCAGGAGCTGCGAGGCTTGTTTTCAAGCTTCAGACTGAACTGAAGCAGCGGTTGCTGACGTCATTACGCTCTTGCGCGATGCTGCGTTCAGGACAAGCATGGAAAACTCACCACTCTTATTCCAATACGGTCGCAATGATGTGTTTAGGTACCGAAATGGAATTGCATGAACATTCACGTGGTGGTTATGTAATACAGCGAATCGATAATAAAAAATCTGCGTCGACAAATTTACATAATCGACGTCGTCGATTATTTCAACTAATCGGTGCAGCCCTAGTTTATTTATATAGTACCAAGTCACAGCATATGTTGTCTCAAGGCACTGTACATTTTTTTCTGATTTAGAAAAAGAAATATAATAATAGGAATGTTTCATTCTGGTTTCCCTTTAAATTCTTTTGGTTTAAGCACTGATTAATGCTAAGAAAAGGTTGAGTTGAAGAAGAAATCCTCATTTGTCAAACCGTTCATGATGGGAATGTTTGAAGATGACGGAAGGTTCTGGGCGTTTGGGAATATTGGTTTACATCTTTCTTTTTTCCTTTAGTTATGTTCGGCTCGTGGTTTGATCATGTAAAGAGCTGGCTGAATGTTGACGAGAAGCACCAGATACTGCACATCACCTATGAGGAGATGGTGAAGGTGAGAGCCGAGCGCTRCTTTTTAAAATCAGACCAGATGAAGCGGTCACCCGACGTGACCCGAGCTGTGTGTGCCACAGGACCTGAAGAACTCCGTGAGAAGAATCGCTCAGTTCCTGGAGAAGCCGCTGGACGCCGAGGTGACGGAGCAGATCACACAGAGATGTTTATTTAAGAACATGAAGAAGAACAACATGTCCAACTATTCGATGGTTCCTCAGGAAATCATGGACCCGACAAAGTCTGAATTCCTCAGAAAAGGCACGTTTTCTTTAATCACACACAGTAAATGGAGCATATTGGTGCAATCATAGTAATTTCTTATCTGCACAAAATAAAAGAAAGTTTCATGCTGAGTTTGTCAACCTAACTATTGATTTTAAAATGGCATTGTTTTGCAAATTAACTTCAAGTGATTTKGGGTATCTTTTGTGTTTTATTTCAGGAGTGATTGGTGACTGGAAGAACCTGCTGACAGAAGCAGAGGCAGAGAGCTTTGATGCTGTTTGCAAAGACAAAATGAAAGATGTGAAGTATACGTTTCCATGGGAGTAAACCTGACTGAATTTCCCTGATGTGTTCACTTTTTCAAAGCATTAAATGGATATTTTAGTCACTTTAAAGTTGGATTCCGAAGAGTTGAGAGTTAATATCTTACCTGCTGTAGACGGCTTTTTGAATGACTTCAGTTTGAAGAAACAGAAGGCTCTTTAACAAAACACATCAAGCCCTCTGACTGCCTTGGTGCACTGAAGGTCACACCCAACGTAAATTTATGCCTGGTAGGTAGTAACACGATGATGTGATGAAACTTTAGCTCTATGTTTCCAAAGATCTATGTACAACAGGTAAGATTGGTAATTGTTTGGAACACCACTTCAAAATGACTGAAATATCCCTTATAGCATAAAAGACAATAATTTTGAACTAATTACTGCACTTTTACTGTTTTAGTTCTAGTGCTTTGTCATTGACTGCTTTTAAAAAACTGAAACAGCTAAAACTAGAAGAAAGGGCTGAGATACAAAGGGAGTTTATCTTAGAAACAATCATGGGATCTTTCAAAAATATTCTACTTTGTTCTTTAAAAATAGAAGTTATCTTTAGGAAAGTTTGTATTCAAGAGAGGAATGATCCTTGCTGAAGTTTAAAAGAATATTTTGGATGAACATTATCACACATGGCAACATGAACCAAAACGTCTGCCTTGATGTGTTTTAACAAGTGGAAATTACTTCTTTCAGTTATCAAATGTCATCCATTAAGACCCTTTAGAGCATCTTGATAAGAAAAATGCAACAAGAAAAACCTCAAACTGGTAAGCAGCTGAAACTAAAAACAAAACAAAAAAAGCCGCTGCTGCATTTCTTTGTACCCAAACCTCACTGAGATGAAGTAAAAAAAAAAAAAAGCAATGCAACTGTTTCATCACTTCTGTCTGAGCTGTTGTTACATGTCTTGCAAAGCTGTTATAGGCAGTTTCAGAAGAAAGGGGGAGGATGAGCATTCCTTCAGTATCAGAAATATGTGTCCCTGGGCAGGGTACCCCAGGGACACATAATCTACAGTACAAGCTCCAAGCAAAACAAGTGGGAGCATGTTAGTTTTATAAAAAGACACGTCTAACATTTAAAACATTTCACCTTTCTGTTAAAAAAACTTTTCCAACTAATGTTGTTTTACAATGTTTTGTAGTTTTAACTTGTTGCTCACTCAATACTCAGTTAAAATAAAGAATACGTGAAAATATATTTTTGTTACTTGTTTCTATTAAGTATAACAGATTACGTACATGTAATTTATTTTACCTTGTTCAGTTGGATTAACATATAAAGGTCATATACTGTACTAGGTCAGGGCTATTAAACTGGTGGCCTGCGGGCCACATCTGGCCCATGGGTGACTTCCCTCTGGCCTGCCAATGAGCCCCGCTCCCCATCCCCCAACAAAAAGAAAATTGAAAAAATGTTTTCTTTAAAAAAATTTTACTTAATATAAAAATAGATTTTAAGTCATTTATAAATGTACAATTTAAGCTTCAATGCAACAAACTAAAAGGTAAAAAAAAAAACTTGTTCTGTTACATACTTGAGTGTTTCACCTACCATTGATGGGCAACGCCTCTTTGTTGATGTCCAGCCCCCGAGCTGGACCCAGGACCGATTTAGTTGAATAGCCTTGCACTAGCTAAAGATCAATTGATATATAACGGTAAGTATTTTTATTTACCAGTCTTAGGAGAACATTGTCATTAAACAATAACAGAGAAAGGTTCTCCTGCTTTTAAAAATCAAAATGGTCTACAGTAAGCTGGTTATAGCAGTAGCATCTTCATTTACTTCGTAACTGGTTATGTAAGCACATACATGTCCAAATTAACTTGTTTTTTTAAGTGGACATTATCAAAGCGTTAAAATCAATAACCAAATTATCTGTCTATCTGTAATACCTGTGCAAACTGCATTAAAGCATCAATCAATATTCTATTCCATCAGTTTTTGATTTGCTGCTCTGCATCAAAACACGATGGAAATAGTTGATGACAAAATCTCTTTTAAATGGTGTCACATTTGTAAGGAACATTTATTTGTGGGATRAGCAGTGAGTATGTGGGTTGCRCACATGAAAACTTAGCAAAAAAATTAGAAGTAAAAAAATTACTAACTATTGGCAAATTGTTCCTCATTCTKGGGTTTTCTGAAGAACAAAATGTGCAACCTACTGTTGCTGAATTCTAGCAATACTTTCTTCTTGATGCCAAGACTAGGTTTTTGGTCACTGGTGAATTATACGTCTATATTTTCCAAAACCAACAGTGAGTTTTAAATGAATCCTACACCACCAGGTCTGCAGGTTTTATTAGAGGACCTGAAACCTCCAGGTCTGCACGTTGTAGAGGACCTGGGCCATTCTTTAGGTACTAATGTACCTCCATACCATCAGAGAGGTGCACTATTAAACTGGATGGAAACCCCCCCCTTTTTTTTCAGCACGTTGGACATGAGTTTCAACATCCATCCATCCATCCATTTTCTGTACACGCTTCTTCCTTTTCAGGGTCGCGTGGGTCACTGGTGCCCAT